GATTTCGTGTGCAGATCTTTCAATTATCGTCCTTACGCAGCACCCTATGGAGCTGAAAGAGACAATTGTGAGTTGAGCGATCGCGACTCCAGAGATATGGACATGGGCAATCCTGTATATTATGACACGGGCTCCGATTACGACTTCTACGAGAGGAACAACGGCAGACAGGGAGCAGATACGGAGTGTCTCGACGGTAAGCGTCGTAGGAGACCCTGGACGACATCTACGTGGATCACGTGGAGCGATCTTTACGCAGCTGATCCATATTACAGGCGTTACTGATACAGCTTTGAATTATTGTACAGTTATTGTCGAACATTGTCACCTGGACTGTGTTTAATCAAATAAACCGTCTGTTTTTTCCAAGATCAACTTTTTTTTTACTTTTTGTTGCTTGGTCACATCCGTTGATATCGATTCTCCTTTGATTTCTGGTTGGAATGTGGAATACTCTTGAATATTTCTTCTGAAAATTAGAAATAGAGAAGAATGAAAAATTGATTTTTTGGTTTGATTTTATATATATGAGTCATTTTTAGATTTTAAAATTGATCAACTTCATTTTTTTTTTCCTTTTAAGTCTCAATTTTAATATATATAATTAAAATGTATAATTAAGCTTTAAGTTTTCAGAAATCAAATTATTGGTCTCCATGAAATTGTTTGTTTGACATTTAATTAATATTTACGATTTGTTAAATAGAAATCAATGAAGAACAAGTAAATTATGTTTTTATGGTCGTTTTAGTGAGTCAAGTGTGTAGCGAAGACGGGATGGAATTTACTTTAAGGACACCGGAAGGATTCATTGGTCGGATTTATACTTATGGCTATTACGATCGCTGTTTCTTCCGTGGAAATGGAGGAACTGTGAATGTTCTTCGAATCAGTGGTCCCCAGGGTTATCCCGAATGCGGCACTCAAAGAGTAAGAAACTTGTTTTGTCGCTGCTTTTTCAAAAAACATTTTTAAAAAAATCTCATTTCTTCTTCTTCTTTTTTTTTTGTTTTTTGAGAAACAAACAATTTTTGAGATCTCTCATTTACAATTAATTGAATAAAATTTTTTAGATATTTTATTAAAAAAAGAATCAAAATTTTTATCTTATATTTTTTATTTTTATAATAAATTCGACTTACAATTGCAGTACGGCGATACAATGACGAACATCGTCGTAGTACAATTCTCAGACTACGTGCAAACCGGAAGGGATAAACGTTTCAATCTCACCTGTCTATTTCGAGGCCCTGGCGAAGCTGTCGTCACATCCGGCTACATCGGTGCCGGGTATGCCAGGTCATATCGATTGAGAAACCGTGTCTTGCACCCGGTACACTTAATTAAACAGTCCGACCGACGGTCAACTAATTTGGAATGCAAAATGTACCGCATTCCTTTACTGCATGAATCCTGGTGCAAGCACACTTGATTAATTTATTTTAATACCACTAGAGTTTCTTCGTTGAAAATCATCTGATCCTGTAATCATAAATTTAAATATTGTTTGTAGAAAATTTAGAAAATATCATAACTGATTTGTTTGAAATAAATGGGAATAATAATTTTTAAAAAATATATTTTACGATTTGTAGATTTAATGATTTGTAGATTTTGTTATATAGAACTTATATTACAATGTTAAAATCAGAAATGCTAAATGATATTTTAAGTATTGAAATTGTAAGATAATTAATATAATATTTAAATAATTTTTGTAAAAATAAATTTTCAATAAGAAAAATAATATCATTATTGCTTGATATAAAAAAAAAAATATTGAAGTGCTATATTCTATGTCTTTAAAAAAAGGAAAGAATAGAATTAACTTAATCGAATTCATAATTATCTTGTGTAGATCAGGGTCTCCAATCCCAATCGAGTACCTTCCAGCAGAAAATACTCTGAGTTCTCGAGTGCGTTTGCTGATTTTATATCAGGGCAGGCCTACGACGACTATTGCTGTTGGAGATCCACTCACATTTAGGCTAGAAGCACAAGATGGGTATGTAATATTTATTTTTCTTTTAATATCAATTTGTTTTAAAAAAATGAAATGTAATTTTTTGATAATATTTTTTATAGATACAATTATGTAACTGACATTTTTGCTACTAATGTCATAGCAAGGGATCCATATTCAGGAAGAAGTGTTCAACTTATAGATAGATATGGGTAAGTATATATTATTGTAAATTATTATTTAATTATCATATTTATCATATTTGTTAATAATTAATTTATTATATCAAATTTTTCAATAAAAATAAACGAAGAAAAATATTTTTGTGTTTTAATAATAAAGAAATTTTGATTGATTTCTTAATAATAGAAATAATCTGATTTGCTTGACCTTTTATATATCTAACTATTTTATTTAATTAAACAATCTACTTGAATTCATTTAATTTATCTAATCTATTTATTTATATCTTTTTTATTAATTTTATTTATTTTATATGATTAATTTAGTTTGCCAAATAAATTTTAAATCATCTTGAAATTGATTTGTTAAAACTTAAATGCTAAAACTTATTGTACATCTAATGTTACCTAGTTTCTTTTACTTATGTAAACTATTTATTCACAGAAATTTTAATTTAGTTTATCTGTCATAATTTGCCATCCTATTAACTTATCTAATTGATCTATCTAATAATTATCTATCTTAATAAACCAAAGATATTTATCTAATCTATTTAATTCATTTCAGAAAGTTGATTTATTTAAATTTAATAATTTGTCTATATTTCAACAAATATTTAAAAATAATGCAAAACCAAAAATCTTCTTAAAAATAAAATATTCAATTTGTTCACACAGTTGTCCAGTAGACAATTACGTATTCCCTGGATTAGATCGTTTGCGGGATGGTGACAGTCTCGAAGCACGTTTCAACGCTTTCAAAATCCCTGAATCCAATTTCTTGGTGTTCGAGGCGACAGTGCGAACATGTCGAGACGGTTGTCAACCAGCTTATTGCTCGGGTGGTACCGGAAGGAGCGAACCATCCTTTGGAAGACGTCGAAGAGACCTGTCGCAAAATGACACGATCGCTGAGGAAAACGAAATAAGCATTATAACAGAGAATAATACAAATGACACGTCCTCGAATTCGACGTTCGTCGTTGAAGACACTGTCACCAAAGAAGAAGAAGAAAAGGCGGAAGAGGAAGAGGAAGAGGAGGAGGAACACGTGAGAGAAATGATCGAGGTAAAAAAGAAAAAGAAATAAAGAGAAAGCAAACTTTATAATGATATTAAGAAAATAATTCTTTTTAAATTATTATTGGAATAATTGAGACGATTATAATGGAAATTTTAACTTCATTGACCTATTTCTAAATTAAGTGATGAAATGAAAATAATTATTTTTAAATTTCAATATATATAACTTTATATTTCAAATTATTTGTTGTAATTTGGAAATCTTGAATATATATATTTTTCTTTCTTTCTATTAATGAAATTATTTAAAATAAGAAATTTAATACAAGCACATTTCAAAAACAAAAGAAAATGTGTCTAAATGAGTTGCAGGTTTTGGATTCAAGGATGGATATTGATGAAGAAACTGTGGTCGAAAAGCAAACTACTATAATGGAGAGTGTCTGCATAACTCCTAACGAATATTATGGACTAGTAACAGCAGTGGCAGTGCTGGTAGTACTTTTAGCATCCGTGGTATTGTTATCCATGTTGATATACAGGTACACATTATAAATTATGATTTATCTTTGATATGTTAATTAATATATTTACAAAAGTAAATTAATTTATATAAACTGTTTCAGAAAATATGCTTACGCAATAATCACAAAGAATCGCAGAGTTGACAAAGCATGTAATCGAAGCAGTCATTCGGACGATGTTTATAGTAGTCGTGTTAACAATTTCTCTTTCTTAAGATCGGGTCTTCAGAAACCATTTCAGTCTACGTACGTAATCGTTATCGGACATTTATATAGTTTACAATATTTTATAATTTTTAAAAACACTTTTATCAATATTAAAATTAATTAAGATATTTAAAAACTTATCTAGAAAACTTATCTTATTTTGATTACCAAATGCAAATATGTGGGAATTAATTATATGTTATATTAAATCATGATATGGTAATCATTTTTTAAATATCGATAATTATTATAATTGTATTATCGTATAGTAATTTTAAAATCTGAGATTCAACATAGTCCTTGAAAGAAATAAAATATACTTTATATTGTATATAAATATAAAAATTATAATGCGTTAAATGATATTAAAAACAAATCTAAAAACTTTCTTAAAGAAAAAGTCAAGCAATTTTTTGCAATTAAAAATAAATTTTTCAAAAATTGAATTTTTAAATCCCATTTTTTAACAAAAATATCTCCAACATATATAATATTTTAATTTCAAAGCTACACTAACATTTTCTACTATAAATATAGTAGTAGATTTATTCAAACGTCATTCATGTTTGACAAATGGTTTAATGGCTCTTAACACTTTCAACGTGAAATTTGATATTTATTCACCAATATATTACCTGAAGTTGATGTATATTCGTTCGATCCACAGGTCGATCTCCCGATCAATGAGTAACGTGATCGGTCAACGCGTGAGCTCGTCATCGACTGCTCTGGAAGGCGCAGTAGGATTGTCATCCAGTAGAAGAACCGGCTTTGACCCTAGCGAACCGATCTACACCGATCCATCATTGTTCGAGGTTGCTCGTTGCTCGTCGCCTAAACCTGTCCTCGATGATAACTTCCATCTTATGTGAAGATCAAATCTCGTTAAATATTTCTTCTTAAAACGTGAACTTGGCGTTAGTTCAACATTCGAGACTTGAAAATAGAGAAATAGAGACATTAATGGGTTTTCTATTGTAATCAAAGAAAATAGGAAAATTTGGATAAAATTGTCATCTCACAATTCTTTAACAAAATTTAATTTCATTGATATTAGGATTTAAAAATACTTGATATATAGTATTGTTGTAATAATTTGATTAATGAATCATTTATAGACTTCGTTGATCTTCGAAATATTAGATTGTTCTTTCTATTACGATTTTTTTCTCTACTATTTTTTCCATTTTCATGATTTCAAATACAGCTAGTCAAATTCATTGACCACTGCCAGCTACGACTGCCATGTCGATAAACTGACGTATTATATACTGTCATTGATTTATTATGAGTTTACTATGAATCAAGATTATTCTCTTTATCTATTGTTCAAACTTTTATATAGAGATATAATGATTGTATATTAACTCGTTACTTTCCTAGAGAAGATATTTATAATTATTTAGTATTAATTTTTTTCAAGAGAAATCTGGAAAACATTCAAAAATTTAGCAATCATAAAAAAATGTTTAGAATGCAATCTTCAATAATCTATTAAAAATAAGTTGATAAATTTTATAAAAAAAAGTAAAATTTAAGATCTTTTTTATCTAATTCTCTAATTTATTTTCTGATAAAAACAGCAATTATTTTTTTGAATTGAATTTTAAAAATTATAATTAGCTTTTTACAATACGATATTTTCAACTTATATATTCAGTTTTTAAATTAGCATGATAAAATGAGACTATTTATAGCTTTTATATGAAATAACCTATAAAACCATCAAAACAAAGATTAAAAAGAAAATCCTCGTTCGTATTTAAAAAACATTACCTATTATGGAATCATAAATAACTAGCATTACGGGCTTTTATTTATTATGATTTCAATTGTAGTTAGAAAGAAATTCCAAATAATAAACAGATATACATAAATAGAATATCGTTCAGTTATATTTAGTCTAAGATAATCTCCTGTTTTTTATTCCTATAATAAAATGAATAAAGACATCGCACGAAGCCATCATGAATATATTCATTTTATTCTCTTCGGTCAATCTTCCTTTATCCTATCTAACTTATAAGTAAAAAGAAGCATCCTTAGCCTAGCCTCTTCTTTACGATAGTGAGCCTCTTCTAATTTAATCCTGGCCTCCTCTTTTAACATAGCAGCGATATCAACTTTCATCTGTGCCTCTGATAAAGCCAATACATGTAATTCTTCCTCTTTATGAAGGGATCTTTTCGTCCTTCGGGGTTGTTCATGAACAATTGAAGGGGAAAACATCGTTTGTGTTGCATTTGATTTGAAAATAAGTCGATTTTTCTCCACTGTTTCATCTTTGTCTAATTGTTCCGGCACAGGTGACTCCAAATCTTTTTTAGATTTGTCGAAACAGTCAGTTACTGGACCGTATGATAACGAATTCGAATCGATTTTACTGCTGATGGAATCTGAGGTAAAGGAATTGTATATGTATTTAAAAAAATATCATACTTTTATTTAATGGTATATCTTTTTTATTTAGTAGCAAATTTTGAAAATCTGAGTTACGCAAAAAAAAAAAAGGAAAAGATGAGAGTATAACCTGTATCTTTACAATTATTTTCCTCTTTCGAGATTTGTTTCGAAGGTTTTATAGTACACACAGTTTGCAACGTAAATGGTTCAGATTCCTTTGGTTCAAACATAACATTTGGCGGTAAACCTATAGTTCCGGTAGGAATAGGAACATCTGGTATGGAATTTCTATTTTCCCAACTTTTTGACCGTGTGTGATCTTTGGACAGATGACAAAAATTTTTTGAAACACCGCTGAAAAAATTAATAAAAAATATTTATTTCATATTTTTAATAATATTAATAAAAATAGATTGATTTAATAAAAATAAGAATACAAATTTATATAAAAATAATTATTTAAAATAAAAAAAAAAATAAAAAGAACAATAATGATAAATGAAATACTTTATACATAGTACAAGTAGTCGAATATTCCCGCGCTTTTATAAAACAATATACACGAAAAATAATACCGTGAATGTATTATATTTACCGCAATTTCTTCTCTTCGCGATTTCGTTTACATGCTTTCATGTTTTCCCAACAGCGTCTTAACTGTACAGCTGAACGTATTCCTTGTGGACCTACCATTGAATTGTATTCGTTGGCCAATTGAGACCATGCTGATTTTCGTTTATACATCGATATTGGATCGGACCTTTTATCTTCGATATCTTCGTACTTATTTATCAAGGTTATCAAAATTTCTCGTTCCTCGAAGCTATAAGTTTTTCGAGTGCTTTTCAACGACGAAGAAGCCATTTTAGCACAGAAAAAATGCTCAACTATCACGTCGGTCTTCCACTGTTTGTTTCTTCCCACCAACGTAACTTAATGCAATCTTGTACAAGTTTTTCTTATAATCAATGCATTATAATAGTTTCGATACAACAATTAAGAATAAAATCATGAGATGAAATATTGTTCATTGTAAAGTTTGGAACTTGTCTATGATATATGTCTTAACCATTAATGTACATCCATTAATATATTTTATTTTAATATATTACATTTAATCGAATTAGAATTTCGAAAAGGCATTATATTATTTAATATAAGTAATTGTCTGTTTTGTGAGATACTTAACTGATATAATTCAAGTGTTGAAATTCCAATTTATTATATATTTTTAAAATATTTCACTCGTTGATGTGATGTATTTGACGTTAACGGATAAACTGGCGCCAAAGAAAATAAAATATAGTTCGTGAATATTCCAAGTAGTTGGCGCCAGAGTAAAATCGTTTTAATGGCAGTGCTTTCAAAATACAAACATGCACAGGATGTCACGAAACTACAGGAGACAGTGGATCCAGTGACAGTGTGGTATCCGTAGTAATTGTTATAAAATGAAACGGCATGTTCCATCTGATGCAATTCCTTAGCGGACTCCTTTTGCTTCTTCTTTCGATACCGCTGAGCAATGGTGTGGATTATACGTACGAAATCGACTGCAGTAACCTACGAATGGGACAATACATCTGTCCTCATCCCGATTATGATTTCATAGATCCAAAAACGCAACAACCAAAAGGATGTACGAAAGAAAATAAAGCCAAAGGTACGTAAAATTCTTATGTCTTTTCATTATTCGCAAATCTGAAAAAATTTGACATAACCTATATCTAAAATTAAAAAAATGTGCATTTTCACTGATAATTTAATTCTTTTCTATTTTATTTTATTTATTGATGTTTAAATATTTATTATCTTCCTTAGTTTTGTAACGAGTATAATTTTATATATGTGAAATTTGAAATTACATGTTCATTATCTTGTTGTTAGTGTTATGTCTGGCTGCGGATGGCCTCATTTGTACAGAAACAAAAAATAATACGTTTAAGAAGGATATTCCTTGTAAATGGACGTAAGTATACATAAAAATAATTTGTTTACCAAATTAAAATTTGAATGTTTCAAACAAAATGCAAAAAATATTTGCAATATTCAAAATGTTTATAAACATCAAGATATAATTTAAAAGTGTACATAACAATTATATATTTAAAATTTAAGCATGTAAACAAAACATACAGTAAGTAAAATTTCTTTTTTTATTAATATTTACAGAAATGGATATTCCTTCGAAACATCATTGTTACTTTCTATATTTCTTGGCATGTTTGGGGCAGATAGATTTTATCTAGGGTATCCAGCATTGGGCTTGCTTAAGCTAAGCACTTTGGGATTTCTCTTTCTTGGTCAATTTGCCGATGTAATACTTATTGCAACACAAATTGTAGGACCTGCAGATGGTTCGCATTATGTGATGCCATATTATGGTGCAGGAATTCACATTGTGACAAGTAATAACTTTACATACAGAGTGCCACAATACGATTGTTGAACAATTTCTACATACAGAAATAATGATAATCAATCTAAAAATTGTACAGCCCCTGCTTTAATCACGAACAACGATATGCAATCCTAGAATTGAGTCCTATTTCAGCAAACTTGGGAGAAAATTATGTGTATGCTATTTTAATGGACAAACAGAAGAGAATCATCTTGTAGATATGTATTTCAACGAAATATTGTATATACAGATTTGTTACTGACTTATTACCTATTGCCAGTATAGTCGTGTAATAAATATTTGTTTTTATTTCTAAGTGTTCCTTCCTTCCCTTCCTCACAGATTTTATATATATCTTTAAATTTATGGGTATTGCATTTTTTTTTTTTATATACTGCATATCAGAAAGTTTAATTTTTACGTGCTTACCGACATATTTAAACATAATTAATTAAACAATCATAATTAAGAGAACAAAATATAAACTTGATTACGCACTTTTTGTATTGTCAAAAATGACGTTAATCGCTATTATCGCAGTTTAATTATTATCTAGCACGTCTTTGATATAAAAGTACTGGAACGCGTTACCTTGATATTCAGAAAACTTTCAGCAGTGGTAAAAGTTTGTGTTCTCTGATCAGAAAAGTGAAAAAAAAAAAAAACTTCAATTCGATTAATGTAGCATCATCGAATATGAAAAGTTTTATTATAATTTTGTTATTTCAATTTCTCATCTTAATTGTAGTTAGTCAACCAGTGAACAAACTAACTGTGAGTTTTTTTATCACTTTATTATTTTAATTTCATCTACTTTGATAATTAAGTAAAAAAAAAATTTTATAAATTATTTTTCATATTTGTTATTTAAAAAAAAAATAAATTAGAATTAACGTAATAAATTTAATATAATTATTTTACTTATATGAATTAAATATTTTTCATTTACCTTATTAAAACTGCTTTTTTTTATAAATAAATAACATCATTAAAAGAAAAATCAATAGATAGAAAATAAAAAATATATAATTATCAAATATTTCATAAATTCATCTTTTCTACTAACAATTTTTTAAAACAATAGTTCAACAATAAATCTTCAAAATTTTACATAATCTTATATAAATGAACTCCTAATTATCTGCAGGACAATGATACAGATATCACAAATTATGGAGTGCACAGATATCCCAGAACTTTAATTTCTTTTCCACCTTGCAAGATGAACCAATATTTCGACAAAGAAAAAGGTTTTTGTTTGAATGTACTCGGTGGTGGTAAAGCACTTTATATAAATAATACATCTTGCGGAACAAATGTGTTGAAGCCACACTGTTTCAATCCAAGATATTATTACATCTGTAAGAAGAATAAAACCATTCTGGCACAATGTTCTCAAAACAAGCATTTCGAAGTTCATTTACAAAAATGCATTTTGATATATCATGGAAAAAACACTCCTAATAAAACCAATTCCAATAGTTGTCAAAAAGTAGGTATATTTCCAATTCCTAATGATTGTCATCAATTCTATACTTGTACAGTTTATGGTCATCGAATGAAACAAAACTTTTACATATGTCCAAAAAATATGGCCTTTGACACGAAGACAGAAATGTGTAAACCCTCAAGTACTTGCAAAGAATCAAGATTATCTTCCACGTGTTTATTTAGCAGTGAGAAAGAAGATATGACTCTAGAGGAAGCAAATATGTTCTTAAGACTGGACAAAAAGGAGAAATCATTAATGTGTGAAACGATATTTACGAGTGATGAGGAAATTATGACTACTGAGAGGAATTACAATAATGATGGAATTAAATCGACAACTATTTCTTATAACAAGCCGTCTGTATCTCAATTTACAGAACCCAGCGATAGGAAATTTATTACAACCACGATCGAACGTGCTTCGGGAACATCACATTCTATAAACACTGTCGCTTCCGAAATATATACAACTGCGATGTATTCGCCAACTAACGAAGAAATCACGTATACGACAGAGCAAAATTTACCAACAGAAATAAAAAAGAATGGAGAAGAAAATCTAGAATCGTCAACTTCAAAAGAATCTTACAAACAAGAACATAATGGAAAAACAATTAATAATAACGTACAATCAACTGATGCAATGAAAACATTTCCCACTGAACCAACAATTTTAGATGACACAACTTCTAGAGAAACAAAAATTGAAAAACAACTAGGTATAAAAATAAAAACTCATCCAAACGAGTCGCCTAATTTTGAAAATCAATATAGTACAACAACGGCAGAATTTAATGATGCAACTCATTACTGGTACATATCACATAGTACATCGGCCACAGAAGACTTGAATGAACCATTAACTACTGAAGAACAGACTACCGATTTGTCATTAACAACAATTAATGGCAGTTTTGATAAAGAAGAACATACAAAAATAAATTCAAATGATCAATCTTCGGAAATTCCTAATATTACACAACCAAATATAGAAATATCAACTAGTACAATAGCTACAGAAAACTTGAATGAACCAATAGCTACTGAAGAAGATGGTGCGCATTTGCCATTAACAACAATTAATGGCAATCTTGATGAAGAAGAACATACAAAAATAAATTCAAATGATCAATCTTCGGAAATTCCTAATTTTACACAACCAAAAATAGAAATATCAACTAGTACAATAGCTACAGAAAACTTGAATGAACCAATAGCTACTGAAGAATATGTTGCTCATTTGCCATTAACAACAAGTAATGGCAATCTTGATGAAGAAGAACATACAAAAATAAATTCAAATGATGAATCTTCGGAAATTCCTAATATTACACAACCAAATATAGATATACCAAATAGTACCCCAGCCACAGACGATTTGAATAAATCATTAACTACTGAAGAACAACTTACCGATTTGTCCCCCACAACAATTAATGGCAGTCTTAATAAAGTAGACCATACAAAAATAAATAATCTAGCGTCAGAAATTCTTAATACTACACAACCAAATATAGAAATACTAGATAGTACACCAGCAATAAAAGATTTGAATGAACCAACACCTATTGAAGAAGAGATTACCGACTTGCCATCAACAACAATTAATGGCAATGTTGATGAAAAAGAACATACAAAAATAAATTCAAATGATCAATCTTCGGAAATTCCTCATATTACAGAACCAAATATAGAAATATCAACTAGTACAATAGCTACAGAAAACTTGAATGAACCAATAGCTACTGAAGAATATGTTACTGATTTGCCATCAACAACAATTAATGGCAATCTTGATGAAGAAAAACATACAAAAATAAATTCAAATGATCAATCTTCGGGAATTCCTAATATTACACAACCAAATATAGAAATATCAACTAGTACAATAGCTACAGAAAACTTGAATGAACCAATAGCTACTGAAGAATATGTTGCTCATTTGCCATTAACAACAATTAATGGCAATCTTAATGAAGTAGAACATACAAAAATAAATTTAAATGATCTATCGTCAGAAATTCTTAATACTACACAACCAAATATAGAAATACTAGATAGTACACCAGCAATAAAAGACTTGAATGAACCAATAACTACTGAAGAACAGATTACCAATTTGCCATCAACAAGAATTAATGTCAATCTTGATGAAGAAGAACGGACAAAAATAAATTCAAATGATCCATTTTCAGAAATTCCTCATATTACACAACCAAATGTAGAAATATCAACTAGTTCAATAGCTACAGAAACCTTGAATGAACCAATAACTACTGAAGAACAGATTACCAATTTGCCATCAACAAGAATTAATGTCAATCTTGATGAAGAAGAACATACAAAAATAAATTCAAATGATCCATTTTCAGAAATTCCTCATATTACACAACCAAATGTAGAAATATCAACTAGTATACCAGCAGCAAAAGATTTGAATGAACTAACAGCTATTGAAGAAGAGATTACCGATTTGCCATCAACAACAACTAATAGCAATCTCGATGAAAATGAACATACAAAAATAAATTCAAATGATCAATCTTCGGAAATTCCTAATATTACACAACCAAATATAGATATACCAAATAGTACACCAGCCACAGACGATTTGAATAAATCATTAACTACTGAAGAACATGTTAATGATTTGCCATTAACAACAATTAATGTCAATCTTGATGAAGAAGAACATACAAAAATAAATTCAAATGATGAATCTTCGGAAATTCCTAATTTTACACAACCAAATATAGAAATATCAACTAGTACAATAGTCACAGAAAACTTGAATGAATTAGCTACTCAAAAAGAAATAATGGATTTACCATCCGCAACAATTAATGACAATCCTGATATAGAAAAACCAGAAATAAATTTAAATGATTCATCTTCAAACATTCTTAATACTCCACAACCAAATATAGAAATATCAACTAGTACAAGAGTCACAGACAACTTGAATGAATTAGCTACTCAAAAAGAAATAATGGATTTACCATCCGCAACAATTAATGACAATCCTGATATAGAAAAACCAGAAATAAATTTAAATGATTCATCTTCAAACATTCTTAATACTCCACAACCAAATATAGAAATATCAAATAATACAGCAATTACAGAAGACTTGAATGAACCAATAGCTACTGAAGAACATATTACCGATTTGCCATCAACAACAATTAATGGCAATCCTGATGTAGAAATATCAGAAATAAATTTAAATGATTCATCTTTAGACATTCTTAATACTCCACAACCAAATATAGAAATACCAAATAATATACCAAAGACAATAAAATTCAATGAATCTATTGAAGAAGAAAATTCTGATTTTATATCAACAAATAACGATTCTGAAGTGAAAAAAGAGAAAAAAACAGATATAAATTTAAACGATCCATTGTCAGAAATACTTATTACTGGTATACCTAATATAGAAATGGAACACAGTATAGTAACAACAATGGAAGTTACTGAACAATCAACTTTCAAAATCGAAAGTTCTGATATTATTTCAGAAATTCCTTCCAATACCTTAACTAGTATCAAAGAAAATGATATACATACAATCATAAATTTAAATGATTCAATAGAAATTACTACTCCTAGTTTACAAAAACATGTTATGAATAGAGAAGAAACATTTATGAAAATATTAAATAACAAGAGAACTGAAAATAATATATCCGCTGAAACTGTTACAGATGCAGTGGCATCATCTATACTAGAAAACAATAACAATTTTGAGAATAATATAGCCCCAATTTCTGTTGACTCAGCAAGTTATTCTGGTATGATACCTGAGAACAAAATTGAGGAACCTATTTCAATACCAATTACAGATAGAATTGCTTTAAATAAAAATGAAGAAAATAATACACCATCGATAGAGTCTAATATAATAAAAACAAATTCTCCCATAGAAATAAATACAAAATATACAGCAACTTCTATTAATAAAAATTTAGATAATATTGGAAATGAAAAATTGATTCTTTCTTCTGATACAAATATAAATGAAGCTGATAAATCGATTTCACAAACAAATAAATTAACAACTAGTTTTCAAGATTTGATTGCTAAATGTAGAAATCATATGTCAGCAGAAACTACTACACAATCAACCAAATCAAATCCCACTAATGAAAAATATTCAGATCCATTTCATATGCAATCACATTCTCTGGTTTCAGATAAGAAAAACGCAGACAAGCAAAACAAAATTTTTGTAGAAGAAGACTCTTTATCGAAACGCATATACTCCGGAAAGATGATATCAAAAAATTTCATATTACCCATTACGTCAGCAGTGTTAAATTTCATTGATAAATTTGAATGCTATTTGAAAAATACGTTAATAAAGATATTTCACTGAAAAAAATATATAAATAATAAATATTAGTGAAAATGCAAATAGTAATTTAAATATTTACATTATTATATTATTTAAATATAATAAGCATAAGGATAAAATAAACAAATTATATATTATATTTCAAAATATGTGAATATATTATATATATTTATTATATCTATATAAATTAAGATCTGAGGTAGAATTTATTGAACATTTCTAGATATTATTATTATTTTAAAATAAATAATTATACCGCAAAAAAATTGTACTATATTTCAGAGTTCTAATATATCATGTATATTCTCTGTCTTGTTCATTTATTAAGGTGTAATATAAACCTTTCTTTTTAATAAGTTCTGTATGAGTACCCATCTGAAAATAAAATAAAATAATACATATTTAATTTGTATTCTACATTATTGTTGAATTGTATATTTCAATACATACTTCCGCAATTATTCCCCGTTGTAATACAACGATAATATCAGCATTTTTAATCGTACTTAATCTATGAGCAATTATTAAAACTGTTCTTCCTTGACTAACATTGTCTAATGCTTTTTGTACAATTCTTTCACTTTCATAATCTAACGCACTAAAATTTATTCCAAAAAATTTATTTAAAATTTATTGTAAAAATTATTTCAAACATACAGATTTATTAAAATATATGTTATCTATAACTTTTACCTTGTTGCTTCGTCCAAAATTAAAATAGATGGTCTTTTTAATAAGGCTCTTGCAATTGCGATACGTTGTTTTTGACCACCGGAAAGTTGTGCACCTTTTTCACCTACTTGTGTATTATATTTATTTGGGAATTTCATAATAAATTCATGGGCATTCGCTTCTTTAGCAGCTTCAATAATCTACGAATATTCAATAATAAATTTTGCAAAAACATAATTTTAATAAAATGTAAAAATTTCTTACGTCTTCATTTGTAGCATCCGGTTTTCCGTATCGTATATTTTCCATAATGCTAGTAGCAAATAAAATAGGTTCTTGATCTATATATCCCAAAACTTTACCTCGAAGATAACTAGCATTGAGTGACTTCAAATCTTTACCATCAATTATAATTGAACCATCATTAACATCATAAAATCTAAAATATTTTATATTATTTAATAAATTAAATCATGATAAAATTACGATTTATTTATTTATTTAACTCTAATTAAAAATACCTTTCTAGTAAAGCAGCTATAGTTGATTTTCCATTACCACTAGAACCAACAATAGCTACTTTTTTTCCAGCAGGAATGTGTAAGTTAAAATTTTTTAAAATAACATGATCTGGTCTGGTAGGATAACTAAATTTCACATCTTTAAAAGTAATATTTCCCGCTAATGATTGATTTTTAATAATTTCTCCACTAACTATCATTGGTGAAGGTGACATTTCTAGATACTAAAACAAAAAATTCTGAAATAAAATAAAAAAATTTTTTTATTTACATTATTATAAAATATAAAATTATATCTATACCTCAAAAATCCTAGCACCAGCGCTAATACCTTTAACATATGCTCCAAATAACAATGATATTTGCGATAAAGATTTTTGTATAGTCTGTGTGGCCATTAAAAATGCCATTAAATCTCCTGGAGATAATTGTCCAGTAGATAATAAATGTCCACCGAAATATAAAGTACAAAGTAAAATACCATTAAGAAATAAATTTGTTCCTCCTTGAAATAAACCAATTCCTAAACCTAGTTTTTCAAATAATGTTGATCCTAACACAGTTTCTTTACAAAACATTTCTATTTCTTTTTCTTCAGCTGCAAATGCTTTTACCTATAAAAAAGATATATTATAGATTAGAGGAATTCTATTGCCATTATCATACATGATATTACCGTTCTAATATTTTGTATGGCTTCCTCACAAACATGTGTAGACTTAGCAAGTTGATTTTGTGCCTCCATAGATAATTTTCTTAAGCCTTTTCCAAGCATTGTACCAATAAGAATTATGGTAGGCAAAGATAACACTGTAGCTGCAGCCAGTTGTGGTGAAATCCCTATTATAGAAACTATACATCCAATAATTTGTGTAATACTTCTTAAACCTTGTGATATGCAAGTCTTAAAAGTACTTTTAAAATCTTGAATATCGCTTGTTAATCGACTTACTATTTCACCACTATGATTTTTATCAAAGAATGTGATATCTTGCATCATAATTGATTTAAATAAATCTTGTTTTAAATTCATTGCTATTTTTTCTCCTACATGTGAAAGCATATAAATATAAACAAATGTAAAAAATGCCTAAAAATAAATGTAATTTTTTTAAATTACATAGTTTTTTCATTTAAATTATTTGATAAATAATAATTATTTCATAATAATAAAATTTTTCTTAATAAATTAATTATTACATACTTGTGCAATATACATACGTGCTAATGCAAATGCAGGTGTTGTTAATTGCAATAGCACAGCTTTCACAATATCTTCTTTACTTTGGCAAATTTTTGTTAATATATTTATTACATTTCCTATATTCTGTGGTATCCAAATATTTAATATAGCAACAATCATTGCACTCTAAAAATTATAAATAATTATATGAACATAAATAAAAAAAAATTTTTATATTATATGTACTTATTTAAATACTTACTGATAAAGCTATTATTAATTGCCAAATATATGGATATAAATATTCTAAAAATTTTTTCCATTTAAAGATTAATTCCTTATTATCCTTTTTAATATCTTCCTGAACTTTATATGCTTTGCCTTCAACAATTGAAGTGTGAGATTTTATTATGCATGTTCCTATTATACTACCTAATCCACCAAAACCAAATTTTAAAATTGATGAAACATTTTTTGATTTGTTAGTATTATTTATTATAACTTCTTTAATACTATTATTAAATTTTCTTTTTGTTATATCAAACGGTTTGCGTTTTTGTCTCCATATAAATAAAAGTAAAGAATCTCTATAATAAAATATTATATTATTTATTATATTTAATATATCGCATTTATTACATAAATTCTATTATAATTTATTATATAAGTGAAAAATGATAGAAAAATGATAACAAAATGATACCTTGGACATCTCGAATAATTAATATAATTTTTAAATAACACAGTTCGTAATATAGACATTTTTTAAAAATATTATTTTATACGTTATTCAATTACTAATAAACATATTAATATTCATATTATTCTTAATGATATGATTTGTCATATTTTGATTATTATGCAACAGTGAAATAATATTTATTTATCATTTTATCAGTAGAAACATTATCATTGAATAGTCTATTATATACAATGGATTAATAAATGACATTTGACGAGGTTAGGAAAATTCATAATAAAATACTGTGCACTCCCATATGGGAGCGCCATATGTAAAATACGACAATTTTGTTTCTGAAATTTATCACTAGATAGCACTTACTGTGCTATTCATTTTTATAGCTTCTTTATTATATTCGTGTTAGAATAGACGGTTCTAATCTAGTGCTAGAATGATTTTGAAATAATAATGATGTATCAAATCAAAAGTTAAAATTAATCAATGTGAAAAAAAAATTTGTATACCTGTACGTCAAGTTCAATTATCTTAGGATAATTTTTTAACGAAATTTCTTTTAATGAAGAAAGTAGGTTAGTATTTACGGCTTATATTTAATATATTAACAATAATATGATATGAAGTTGAATATATTATGAAGTATATTTACAAATAACATTATTTAAAATAATTAAAACATTAATCGATGCAAAATTAATAAAATGTAAACGATTGATATAATATAATATCATTTAACATTTATTAATATTAAATATATTCATCACCGAAAATTTAATTTTTATATCATAATCATAAACATTTTTTCAAGTATGGCTGTCATAGTTTGGGCGCCAAATTAATTTGTATAACATATAGGCCAGTTTGAGTCTATATATAATTAAAGAAAAAAATATGCTTTTTTTTATAGAATTAATGATATTTTATGTTTTGTTTTCTTATATTCGTATGATATTTTCATCAGATATTTTCTTTATATTAAGTTTGTAAATCGAAATGGCATCCATATTTGATTTTCTATAGTTATAATGTACACTAATAAAAAGGAAAAGTAATTCATATAATTAAACAGGAATTTCATTATTGTTAATAATTAATAATTTTATACTCACATTATTTGCTTTCTATATAGATATATGTATATCTTTAACGATAGTGTTTATATTTACATATTCTAAATAATTCAAATAGATATTGGTAGATATTAATTTGTCCATCCACTGAAACAATAATTCTTCAATATATTACTATATTCCATTGAAAGCTGATAATTTGAATATTTATTGAGATAACAGTAGAATATTATACGTAATTTCCAATAACAATTTCATGGTAATACTAATACTATTTATATATATAACATATATTTATTTTTTTAATATGTCGAATAATATAAATCTAAGATTGTATCATTTAATAAAAAAGTTATTTAAAGAATAATTTTTTAAATTACAAAATTTAGAAAAATATACCAAAATGTTAAATAATTATTTTGCATATACATATAAATATTATATAAATAATACTTTAGATTTAATATAATAATAATAATATTTAATAATAAAATCGATATTTGACAACTGTAATAACGCAATAAACAACTAATATAAATGCATTCTTATAAAAATATTCTTATAAAAAATAATAAACTTTTCTTTTCAAAAAACTTTAGATAAAAATTATATAAAAACTTCAAAGGACTTCGTACATTTAAATCGATCTTATCATAAAAATAATATACATTATTCATTTAAAAGAAGAGGAAAAATAATTCTAATTACAAAAAATTTTCAAGATTTTCAAGTATCGATATTTAACAAGTCTAACAACGATAGTGGAACAACAACCGGACTATATTACACACGAAGGTCTCATGTCATTGCCAGACTCGCGAAGCACTTGAGCAAGTACTTAATACTACCCTCCGCGGTATATTCAAGGCGGGGGTGAGCATTTCAGAACGAATGTAATAGCCGCACAGGCAATT